AAACAACTTCATTACTAAGGTTATTCCATTCGGTAATTGTCCTAGGGAAGAACGAGTACTTGAATGTGTTATTACGGGTGGAAAAGGGGTTATTGTAAAGGCATGCCTCTGCCTTGAGGTATATCCTGTGGACAAATGAAGTATATGTGATAAGTCTAACTTAAAATAACCTTTAACTAACTAAAAGAAAAATTTCAATCTTAATACTTTATTTCGTTGTGTAGGTGTTGGGAGGTTAGCTTTTGCTAATAAACATGTTATTGAAGTACGACCAAAACTGTTATAAATAAACCTAACAGCTTTCTTTTGAATTTTTCCCATTTCGCTGATATTTTTTCTGGTGTAAGGGTACCAAATTATGGATGCATAATCTAAAGTACGTTGAACAATTGCAATAAATGCAACAAGGCGAACTGTGGGAATGGAGTGCTTAAGAGCTCGTCTAACATAAAATGATTTGTAACTACACGAGCTTATTACAGTGTTAATATGTCTAGTCCAGTTAAGGTCATTCGAAGTCCAAAAACCAAGGTACTTGTAGTGTTGTACCTCCTGCAAAAAAACATTATTGGCTGAATATGCAAAATGAAGAGTGTTACGTTTGTGAGAAATTTTCATGAAAACGGTCTTTTTAAAATTAACTGACATCTGCCATTTATCGCACCAACGAATGACCTTTTGAAATGCATCGTATAAATGAATTTGATCAGCATGGTTTTCTATTTCCAAGTACAGGATGCAATCATCCGCATATAACTTAATTTTTACAGGTATGTCATGTGATATATCATTTATAAACAATAAAAAGAGGAGGGGTCCGAGCACAGAGCCTTGGCAAACACCCGAGTCAACCGGTACTGTACGAGAACAATGGTTATTGAAAAAGACGTACTGTTTTTGATTCGAAAGATAACCGGAAATCCAATTTAGAAGCTGAGTATTCTTAAGAATTAAATCGAATTTGAAGAGTAATTTATTGCGAGAGACCGTATCAAAAGCTTTAGCGAAATCCATAAAAATTGCATCTACCTGTTATCCGGAATATATAGATAGTGTGAAATCATGAACTGTAGTTACCAGCTGAGTACAAGTAGAAAATTCTTTCCTGAATCCGTGTTGTGAACCTGAAAAAATATTGTGTTTATCTAGGAATTCTGAAATATGCTTATGAATTATATGCTCAAGTAGTTTACAGGAAGTTGAAATTAATGAGATCGGCCAATAGTTAATAACAGAATGAGGATTTCCACTCTTATGTAGGGGCTTGACTTTAGCAGTTACCCAGTGATCCGGAACTTGACCATCTTCCAGAGATTTAGAAAAAAGAATTGTTAGGTACTTTGAAACCCATTGTGCATAGCGTTTTAAGAACTCATTCGGTACTCCTTCAGGACCTGAAGATTTTTTAACATCAAGATTTAAAAGTAAATTAAAAACTCCCTCTTCACTTATGACAATATCCGATAGGGGTGGGCCTGCCATATCAAATGTTTCCAGGACTCCATTATCCTTCGTAAAAACTGACTTAAAATGATCATTGAAAGCATTAGAAATAACAGAGGAATCACTAGTTTCCACACCGTCAATTTCAAAAACATCAGTAGTCACAGGATTGGGCGAAATTAAACTCCAGAACCTCTCAGGAGACGAAGACATGAGACTCGGGAGTTGTTGGCCATAATAGCGTTCCTTGTCAGACAATACATTTGCTTTTAGTTGAGAAGCCAGTTCAGAAATTCTTTGTTAGAGGATACCTACGTCTGTAGAGTACGGCCTCTGATTTCTTATACGTTTGAGCCGTCTTCGCAACTGCAATGTTTCCCGAGAAATCCAGGGGTTCTTTCCTTTCGATTTTTTTACAATGCGTGGAACAAATCTTTCAATACACACATTTATAAGGTTCTTGAAACGCTTCCACAAATAATGAATATCAGCAGTGCAACTCGAAAAAGAATCAAATTCAAATGATAGTAAGTCCAATATTGAAGTATCATCTGCACGAGAAAAGTTAGGGAATGAGACCCTCTTGCAATTTTTATGTAAAAAAATTTTTCTTTTCTCTATCAAGTTAAGTACAATAGAATGATGCTTGTGCTATTAGCAGATGAGGTGAGAGCTTGACAACAGAAACGGCTGAGATTTTATTGCGCTCTGTAAAAGGGAGGCAATCAAGGTGATTTCGCCTCGTGTCATGAGGTCGAACAGTGATAGAACCACATTTTTAGTAGCAAGCCATTTTCGCGAGTTGTCTTCGCCAGGAGGATACTCGCCTCTTTGTTCATTGGACAACATTAACTCTGACGAGATACATAATTAAGCTCCGACAATTGCTGATTGTAATGGGGAATTCCCAAGGCACTGCCTAGTGGGACCATCTCTTTCTGAGTGCGAAGCGCGAGTGGGTGCACGAGCTATAGACGCTGGACTGCTCGAGCATTTCTTTCTGTACCGGCTGCCTGCCTACTACCTGGCGTCGCTATTAAACTCCCTTGCAAAGTGGTGGAAGTGTGCTGGGTACGCAAACCTGGAACTTCGAAGCCGGAAGCTGCCCACTGCATCAGCAATGCCTGATCAGACGACCGAGCAAAATACCACCCTGCAAAGCACGGCCCAATCTCAACTGGTCATCGTACCTACCACCCTGCGCCAACGAGATCCCCCCTTCTTCAGCGGCACCGAGGACCAAGATGTGGAAGATTGGTTGCAGCTGTTCGAAAAAGTGAGCGCCGCTAACAAGTGGGACGACCCCTTGAAATTGGAGTATGTCCCATTTTATCTTAAAGACGTCGCCAGCCTGTGGTTCACAAACCACCGTACTGAATTTATCACTTGGGCCGCTTTTAAGGCTACCCTTGCAGCTGTGTTCGATCGCCCCGCAGTGTGCAAGCTGCGTGCTGAACAGCGCCTACGCGGACGAGCACAAAGGCAGGGCGAAAGCTTCACAAGCTATATTGAAGATGTCATCGATTTATGCCGGCGCTTTAATCCTGAGATGACCGAACAAGACAAGATTAGGCATATCTTGAAAGGAATAGACGATGATGCCTTTCAAATGTTGCTGGCAAAGGGCCCAAGTACCGTGTTCGAACTTGTGACCCTATGCCAGAGCTTGGAAAAGATTCGGAAACAACGTGCGTCAGTTCGGAGGTCGACGACAGCAGACGACTCTCTCGCTTCCCTGGCCGTCGGTGGTGACAGCACCCTGCTGGAGCAGATAAAAGACTATGTACGCGAAGAGGTCGCCCGACAGCTTTCGTGTCTTTCGTGTCTGCCGACCAGCGAAGCACCAACGAACCGCCTAACGCCGACAATCAGACAGGCTATTCAGGAGCAGGTCTCCGAGGCGTTGCCATTACCTACGTCTGCCTCCCCACCAACACCTGTTGCCGCGCCACTGACTTATGCGGCCGTCACGGCAATGCCTCCACCTCGTATGCCACTGTATACGCCAAAACCTCTACGACCTTCCACTGCGCCGTTTCCACCTACACAGCAGCACGGCGGAAATCCTTGGCGCACTGCTGACAACCGGCCCATATGTTACTTTTGCGGAATTCCAGGTCACGTTGCACGTCTATGTCGTCGGCGCTTCGCAGTTAGTGCACCAAGATACGCTGACTACCCGTTTCGGCCTCCATACCACGCCCCTCACCTGCCACTTGAAGTTCACGAACGCGATGCGCAAGCTGCGTCCAGCACCCGAACCTCCGCTTCTCGACGTTCAACTTCCCGCTCGCCTTCCCCTTCAACAAGTCGTCGTTCTGTATCACCTATGCGTCGACGACCCACCTCCATTGAGACGGAAAACTAACTGCCGCAGCTCCGGAGGCACGAGCTGCGTCATCGTCTAATCGTTCAAGCCCTCGCCCGTCTCCCGCCAATCTTATCGATGTAACTGTCGAAGGTGTACGAACACTTGCACTCATCGATACCGGTGCTGCGATATCTGTGATTAGTCAAAGACTCTGCCGCTCTCTTCGTAAAGTGACGATGCTTTCTCCCGTAGTTTCTCTTAGCACTGCGAGCGCCCAACAAATTGAGCCCATCGCGGCATGTACGGCAAAAGTGGTTATTCGAGACGTGTTGTACATCATTGAATTTCACGTGTTGGCTTCATGTTCCCACGATGTCATCCTAGGATGGGATTTCTTATCACGTCATCACGCCGTCGTGAACTGCGCTCGGGCCGAAGTGGAGCTGTTACCGTTTCGTGACGCGCCTTCTGTTGATGCGGCCGTATCTAGTGTGGCTAACCTTGTCGTCGCGACGGACATAGACATTCCTCCTTTCAGCGCCCAGTTTGTCCCTGCCTGCTGCACTTCACTTTCTGACGCTACCGTCCTATTCGCGCCATCTGACATCTTCGGTAGCCCCCACCACACATCGCTGCCATTCGCCGTTCTTGCGCTTTGTCAAGACACTACCGGAATATTTATTTCCAATCCGAACTCGTGCCCCCTCAGTTTGCGCCGCAACGAGACGCTCGGCCACATTCAGCTTATCGATGAAGGTACTGTCGTGCCTGCCGATTTCTTCGACACCAAGCCGAATATGGAGCTGAACGCGTTGGTTCCTCACTTTGCCTCGAACAGCGTGTCGTCCGATGCATTTCAAAGTTCTATTGACAGCCACCTCGCCCCGGTTCAACGAGAGCAGCTTGTTACCCTGTTGCACGAATTCAGGCGTTCGTTTGACTTTCCCCAAGCGGTGCTAGGAAGAACGAACACCGTTGTGCACACGATTGACACAGGAAAGAATGCTCCTTTGTGCCAGCGCCCCTATCGCGTGTCCCCGGCGGGCTTTGCAAGGGAGTTTAATAGCGACGCCAGGTAGTAGGCAGGCAGCCGGTACGGACAGAAATGCTCAAGCAGTCCAGCGTCTATAGCTCGTGCACCCACTCGCGCTTCGCACTCAGAGAGAGATGGTCCCACTAGGCAGTGCCTTGCGAATTCCCTACTACACTGATAAACATTTTGATACATCATTTGTACACCTCGCAGGAGTTATGCCAAGACGCAAGAAGCGCACAACCGTCCCTGGCACGTCGGAGGGTGCACCCAAGAGTCCCGAAAAGGAAAAGACAACCGTCCCTGACACGTCGGAGTGTGCACCCAAGAGTCCCGAAAAGGAAAAGGGGATCCGAGAGGAGCCTGACTTTCCCGATGACGCACTAGAGATGCTCATTTCCGCTGTAGACACCATTGTGCTTTGCGTGGACGAGGGCAAGCTGATTCAAGTCCCGGAAGGCTGTGCCTCCAGTCTAGACCGCAGGCGGGTGTACACCAACCCGAAGACTCTGGTGGCTCGCAAAGAGGCACTTGCGAACATGGGCGTCTCGGGTGCCGTGTTCGCCGGCTGTGCCCCGTTCTCTTCATCAAAGCCTTACCGTCGCGCCGCCATGTTGGTTCTGGCGACGGCCCGCTTTCTGTACATCATCCACAACAAGTTCGTGCATATAAAGTCATCGTAATCATTTATACTCGAGTTACATCGTAAGACAACATATCGGCTTGGCCGCTGGTTCGGCCTACAGATGTTTTGACAGAACCATGGCGCGCGTACTGGTCACCCGTAAAAATGGTAGGGGTTGCTGCTATCCACTCGAAATGTAAGCACTTTTTTTGGTTAATGTAAACACACGCATAGTAAAGAGCTCTGAAACAGTTTTTTTTTCATGTAACTATATGGAATGGATTCATTTAGCTTATTACCTTACGAATTCAGCGCTGCTGTCTAGTATGAGCGGAGTTACAACTACTTGTAGCTACATTCGCGTTCCCTCTTTTCTCATCCTGACGAAAATGCTTGAAGCTTAACAGGGAGAGCAGGGGCAAAAAAATATGTCACGTGCATCTCATAACCTTGAGCACTTCTTTCTTTTTTCGAATAGGTGGCTTTTTCAGTGTGATCACGTGGGCACGCGTCGACGAGCCACGGCCTCCCGTGGCGATCCATGTAACAACCGAGCGTGCAACGTTCTAATCCGCCAAATACTGATGGATGGATGGCCTTCTACGAGTGATTATAGAGCGTCTTTCGTCATTTGTTGAGAGAAGAGAAAGCAAGCAATTTTCAGCCAACTTTGATAATTTATTGGGAATTCCAGGCAGCGTGCTGCGTTCTGCTTGGCTCACACATTCTCGGGAGCCCCTACTACCGATTTGTCGTAACTACCTGAAACACTCAGCTGGGCTAATTAGTGATGCCAAAATTCTCAAGGAATTTACTTGGAGGCTCAAATTTCCAACCTAAAGCAGCTACACGAACGTGTGTCTCTGTGGAAAAATCACCTAACCGAAATGCATGATAATCGCTTGACGTCACGAGTCATTGTCATTGAATAGAGCGCGCTGCAAGAGAACAAAATCGACGAATAAAGAACTATACAGTACTACGCATGTGCGCTTGTGTTGTCGCGTATCATACCTTAGAGCGCAGAACGTTTACACTAAGTGCAACCAACTGGGCCCAGCCCTGACTCTTCTAGAAGGGAGCATACATTCGAATTATTGTGTGGGAGCTACAGTGGTGGCTGTTAGAGAAGCTTACTCTTTTTTTTAAATTTATGAACTTATGAGGTGCAATTCTTACCATCAGCTTTCTTACAGCCAAGCATGGCATCCTCTGATTAGGGAGTGTAGAAGCAGAGTCAAATATCGGACTGACACATACTCCTTCAAATAAAGTACTTCGCCTGTACCACACTTGAATCCCATTTTGAAAAATTGCCCCGCTGGGGAGCACTTAGGCAAATATTCCCGCGAAGGAACTATTTTGTCTTGGCTAGGACTTCTAAGTTTAGAAATACATACTCCCTCAAAAGAATTATTTTGCCTGTGCCACATTTCAATCCCATTTCAAAAATTTGTTGTACTCCGCAGGACACAGGGAAGTAGTTCCACAAAGAAATGAAGCATTCTGGCTAGGATGTGGCTCCTATGTTTAGAAGTATGTACTCCCTCAAAAGGAGTATTACGTATGCCGTTATTTTTTTCACCCCGTCTCTCCCCGCACACAATAGCCAAATTTCTCATTCTCTTTGAGGCAGGGGCAGTCCTCCCTCAAAGGCAGCATTCTGCATGACACATAATGCCCTTCCTTCTTGCGAGGTGCATGGCACGGAATAAGACATGATTCTGTGCAGGGACAACGTGTGCAAACTGGCGAGCTGGTTTTCGGCGTGTACCGACTTGATGCTGCCACATAATCTGAACTTCCGCAGCATCTGCAGTCGACAAGACTGTGAAGGCCACAGCGCAAGAAAGGCACGTGCCTGCAATTTTCTTTTTCAACGTACCGCAGCTGCAACATCGCAACTTTGCATTGCGTTTTAAACATCACTCTTTACACGCTCAGTAGTGTTGCTTTTTGCGAGTGCTGGTTCACAGTTACGCATGCAGCTTCTTGAGAGATGATATGCCCTTAATGGATCTTTTTCTGGCCCTCTCGACAGTCATCCCTAGAGCGGATCAAAGGCGATGCACCAGCATTAGGGTCGACCAGCCTGGAGTTGGACAAGCAGCTTCTCTCCGAATGTCTCCTGATGCTGCCCAAGGTGTGTGTAAAACCAATGGGTAGCAAAATTGCCCAAACTCTGAATACCCTATGAAGTAGTACCGCAAGTTTGACGATATGATACGAGCTCATAAAAAGTTCGCTAATGCGCATTGAAAGACAAAGTTTAGGACAGGAAAACATGCTTGCATTCTGTTTTCTGTCTTGTTTTGTCTTTTTTTTGCTGTTATAAATTATGTACGCATATATAAGCCGTCATTACATGATGGTAGTGAACACTACAGTGATTTGTTCCCGGTGCTTACACTTGCTAAACACGTTGCTTCCGACACAAAGCTTGAAATATGCATACAGATAAATGAGTGTTTCTATATATCCTCTGCCTCTTTTCTGGATGTTTGAAACATTGCATCAGATATAACATCTTGAGCAAGCGATTACGGACAATATGTTGTCAAATTAGAGTGCTATCAGCTGTCTACATGCCCTTAGCTTTATAATAATGTCTCTACTCAAAATTTTTCTACTCTACTCAAACCTATAGATATTTGTACACAAAGTATATAATCTACCCTTTAAATAATACCGATGCAGTGGTTTCAAAACAGTCAACACATTTGAATCTATTCTCTTCGTTGAATCTTGCACGTAGATATGCCTCACATGTCTTACATAAACTACGTGCTTTAGATAGTGCTTGTAGACTGTCCCCTGGGCAGTCGAGAAATTGTTGGTGTTACATTGAAGGTGACTGTTGCTTTCAGGCACATCGCTGTCAACCAGCACAAAGACTTGTCTGTGGTCGACAGTGATCAAGAAGTGCGAGATGGGCTCATGGGAATAGGTGAATCGACTGTCCTTTAGGGAGGCACAGAATGTTAAAAGAGTACTTGATATATTTGTGACATAAGACGGGCGGTCTGTCCGTTGTTACTTAAAGAGTGTTTGTAGAAAATGTCTGGTGCCACTTCCACAGAAAAGTGGAAGCTTTAGCGGGTTTCTATATCGTCTCTGCGGTGGTTGTATTTTTGTATCCTTCAGATAGTATCTGTCCATTCCGCCTTGGACGCGGTGCTTCACAATTGGGATGTCGTCTCATCAGACGGAGTGGTTCTGGATGACATGAAGACTGCCTACTTGTCCAAATGTCCTGAAGTTGTCCTGGGAGGCTGGCGCGAGCTGCCCGGCTTGGCCCGATCCCACAGAGAGACCGGCGTCGCCGAAATCGAGCGTGCCAGGCGTTTCTGCCCAGCTGTCAGGAAACTTGAGGTAAGTGTTCGTCTTTCAACTCTAATTTATGTTGTGCGTTCACACTTCGGCAGGCGCTTCAAGCAAGACTGTGTGGATGCGATAGTGCAATGAAATTGACAGTGCCAAAGCAGAACTGTGGGACTGTGTGAAGACTGGTAGTGCAACATATGTATTATTTGTTACATTGTTCTCAGCAGCGGGCAACAATCAGCCAAACTTAGCGACTGCTTGTATATAAAAAAATAGGTATGTTCATCATCATCACAGTGTGTTTTGTATTGTTGCGTACACATCATTAATCTTCCTGGTAATGTTGTCTGTATTATATAGTTTTCCAGTACTTCCATTGTTTTGCACATCACGTTGTCCGTTCACACTTCAGCAGGCGCTTCAAGCAAGACTGTGTGGATGCGATAGTACAATGAAATTGACAGTGCCAAAGCAGAACTGTGGGACTGTGTGAAGACTGGTAGTGCAACATATGTATTATTTGTTACATTGTTCTAAGCAGCGGCCAACAATCAGCCAAACTTAGCGACTGCTTGTATATAGAAAAATGGATATGTTCATCATCATCACAGTGTGTTTTGTATTGTTGCGTATACATCATTAATCTTCCTGGTAATGTTGTCTCTATTATATAGTTTTCCAGTACTTCCATTGTTTTGCACATCACGTTGTGCGTTCACACTTCAGCAGGCGCTTCAAGCAAGACTGTGTGGATGCGATAGTACAATGAAATTGACAGTGCCAAAGCAGAACTGTGGGACTGTGTGAAGACTGGTAGTGCAACATATGTATTATTTGTTACATTGTTCTAAGCAGCGGCCAACAATCAACCAAACATAGCGACTGCTTGTATATAGAAAAATGAATATGTTCATCATCATCACAGTGTGTTTTGTATTATTGCGTATACATCATTAATCTTCCTGGTAATGTTGTCTCTATTATATAGTTTTCTAGTACTTCCATTGTTTTGCACATCGCGAGTCTTTTACCAAAGTCTTTGCTGTTTTTTTTTATGCATTTGAAATAGTTCTCTGAAGAAATTGTGTCTGCACGGTGACAAAGTGATTTATATTGATTGATGGCTTCTTTGCACATAAATCCAACTAGCTTACATCTCCAAGAAGGGGGAAGGGTCTCCTATTGTCCTGTCTGCACACTCTTTGCTAGGGAGGGCATGAAACAAAGTTTTGTTCACTTCTCTTTTTTTCCCAGAACTCAGGGACACATATGGTGCCATTCTTTAGTAACAGCCGCGGCGGGCCGACGTAGCGTGGCCCAAAATACAGTTGTTAACATTGACTCGCGATACTACTCAGTAAAAATTCACTGGAACGATTTTGTGAAATTCTAGTAGCGTGACACAAACTAGGCTCGCAGGACATTTAGTATGTTACACTGCGATGTTCCAGATATTGAATTGTCCTGGGAACACACGACTTGTGGTGTGTTTTTAAATATTTAACACAATATATGCATTCGTAGCAGCAGGTTGGCAAAGTCAAGCTGCCTTGGAAAATAGCTGGCATCCTGCGTTTGCAGAGTTGCAGCGGATGGCCAGCGAAGACTGTATTGTTACAGAGGATCACTATACTATATAGGTTTCTGAGCGAGTTTCGGGAATTGGGTTTGTTCGCCAGATATAATTTTTTCTCGCATATTTCCTGCGCGGTTTCGGTGGGGTGCTGCAACCGCCGCTGAGAGATGGCCCCACGTGAATGACAGCAAATCAGAGTCGTGACGTATTAATTCTGATTTCCGCTATTCTCATTATTTACTCCACAGGTGGTGTTTGCGGAAAAGCAGGCTCTGTCTGCAGTCCTCGATTATAACCATCTCACTAGCCTGTCCCTCAAGTATGCCGGGGAGGGTAAGTGCGACGCAGTGGAGACCGGGCTATTGAAGACCATCAAGAAGTTGGTCCACTTGGAGCAACTGAACCTGCAGCTCTTTAGCAACATCGACCTGCGCGAGATTGCCGAAAACTGCCCGAAACTTGTGGACCTCTGTTTGTACGGCTGCACTCCCCTCCCTGATCACGTTATTGACGAGGAGCTCCTGCCGAAGAACCTCGTGTCTCTTTGCATGGAACTGCCTATCCCACATTTTGAGGGTACACTAACGTTCCTTACGCTTGTCGAGGTAAATCGGGAGACCCTAAGTGACCTTCGACTGGATGGTGATGCAGCGTCCAGAGCATTTCTCGACACGTGCTGCATGAAGCTGTTTCCGAGACTCCGGCGTCTGACGTTGAACACGAGCAGTTCGATTCGTGAACTAGGCATCCTGCCAAAGAACCTGCATGACGCCGTGAAGCGCATGCCCGCGCTAAAGTTTCTGGTCACCGACAGCTATGACCTACGACTGTTCTTCGAATACTATGTGCCCTCTGTCTTGATTTCCTGGTCCGTGTGCACGGTTTGCATGGTCGAGCGGTCAAGGCAACAGTTAGGAGATGGATGAATATTGTCAATATCGATATCTACCTTCATGGACGTTTTCCGTCATGATTGTTGCAGTTTTTATTTGTATTTAACTACATTTGCTACGCAATTGCAGATAATACTCATACAGAAGTCTGCATTGCCACCGTGCTGGAAACCTGTGTTGCTCAGCGTTTAAAACAGGATACTGAGAGTGTGTCTGTCGTGGTGCTAAAGGTGCGAGCTTTTGTGACACATGGTGACTGCATCTGGCTAACAACCATTCACTCTGCCGTTCTTTGTGGCGCAGGCGGAATGCTGCTTGCCAAAGCTTCGAAACGCTGCGCTAGTGTGCTGCACTGAGTGAAACGTCTTGAAGCGGTGGGCCTTCACAAGAAAGGATTGCCGTGCTCTCTAGGAGTCAGCGAGAACCACTGACTGAATGACTGTTCGCCGGATGCAGTAACCATGCGTTACTGCATGGCCCTCGCTGTCACCTTCACAGGGATCAGCCATGCACAGCGAGTGCAGCGTTTCAATTGCAGATCACTATACGTAGGGTCACATCACACATATCGCAAAAAGAATGCCTGCTTGTCATGCATACATTGCAGCATTAGGAAACATTCATGGTCAGCTGTGGTGTTCATGTATGCGTTTATCGATAATGGATTTCTTCTGTCTTTTTACCAGTGAAGCTGGCGGTAAGACGTTGGCTAACGAAGGCGCCGCCGAGCCACCGCTATGCAACCACCACAGCTGTGTACAGATCAATATTTATGAAAAGGAACGCGTGCGGCCTGTGCTCTGTGGTGACTGCCTACAGTACCATCAGCCCATAGATAAAGAAAGCGCATGAACTTTTGGGGGCATTGCTCGTTGCGAGACCAGAGCGGGAGCACAATTTATAAGCGCTTGTCCAACAGTCATGGCTTAATTGTTTCGTTTGCAAACGGATGACGCGAACATCGGTCGCACTTTCTCTATTTGTCGGTTGATGGTGCTGTAGGCAGCCACGACAGAGTGCAGGTCACGTGTTTGCATGTCCCTTTTCATAAAAAGTTCACTGTACGTGCACTCTCATTGAATTTATGCCGTGGCGGTAGGCCGCTCATCGGCGCCTCCGCCCAGCGCGGGTGTCACGTGACAAAAACAACTCTCACGAGGTGTTCATGTGCCTGCCAGCTCGCGCCCTGTTTGTGGCTTGTTCCGGCCTGATGCTGGCATGGGAGGGTACAATGTCTGGTCACTTTGACGACGCCCGTGTGGAGAGGAAGTAGAGAAAGATTTTGCTACACATGGCTGCTGCCAGGTTTTGCTGGGCCCAAGCTTGGCTAATTTTTTGCTCTTTCACGATCATCCCATCAACTGCTTCGCTGTCTCTCGAGCTTTTTGCAGCAGTGCAAATGTTTTTTTTTTGTTTACTAATGTGTTGGAAGACCTGAACATCGTGGCAAAGAACCTGCCCACGTTGAAATGCTCGGGTGCGGAAATGCCTCGTTGTTTTTTTATACTTGTGTTCCTGGAGGGCTCCACCTATGTCCGTGGTTAATTTCACGTTTCAGCTTTTTTTATTCCACCGCAGCCATAATTTTCAATTCTGACATGCTGGCACATAAGAAGTGGCCGTCATGTTCTGCACAATTCTTCAAGAAACTCTATAGATTTTGTTCGCTTTTATAATACCTATTCTGGTACATATATTTTTGTCAATTTTGGAAATATGACAAAGCAGTTTGTAGTGTTTTTTTTATTATAGATACTATTGACATTTGTTTGTGCTGTTGAATGACTGTCGTCTTCAATTTGGTTCTATTTTGTAGTATAAATACGAGCACTATAATTCTTGTCAACATTCGAAATACCATGCCGACATCAGTCAGTGGTGTCTTGTTCTAATGGAGGCAGAGATGTTTGTACTTTGAATAAGCTTCATCTATACGCTGAAATTAAAACATGAACTGTATACAAAGACCGAACAACACTGTGGTTGCAGCAGTTCCTGCATTGTCGCAACGTCACTGACGTTTCTTGAACTCTATAAAACAATGTCTCTTTAGTAAGTAAGTACGGAATCAGTGGTGTAGCATGTTACACTTGGGAAAAGTTTTTTAGGGTGATTTGGGAACCGATTTGTCAAAATAAAATAGCAGCTACCGGACATTGATTTGTAAATCAGCTGAAAAAATTGGCGACAATTACGACATTGTCAAATGCGAACTCTGAGTGTAGCATTTGTTAAGGCAAGGCCAACTGTGTTCGAAGTTTTGGCTTTCTGCAAGGTATTGACTGTGCCACAAATAATTTTTGAGAAGTTGGACAGCACCCACTACGCCAATCGTCTTCCTGCGGATAAGCGAGATACCTGGTATACACATCTGAGGTATTGTGTACTTTGTTGATAACGATGAAAAGCTATGCTTAGCACTTTGCAATGGACCGGTGGGAAACATCAAATCACAAACTCGTTGCGCACTTGGCATCATGCGACGACTGGCTATTCTACTTCATAGGTTAACGCGATTCCTTGCCCGACACGACGCCTGTATAGGGTATTTTTACTAATGAATTTGAAACATTAGCGTGGATCTCTAGTAGAATACTAGACTGCCATTCGGTCGTGGAGACTGTTTGCTCATACTTCTTTTTCATATGCCACCGATGGCAACGGCTAATGCTACGCCACTCAATGCTGAAATAAACGCCCAAGTACTGTGCCCCCTCCTGCGCTCCCCAAGAAAGTACGATACAGACAATGCGCCTGTTTTAAGTGTGGCTTCATATATACGGACAATTTATGGACGTATTTATTCAAGCAATACGCTCGTGTTAATACGCTCATATACATATACCAGACATTTTGTGCCATTCCTCACTTAATGCGCTACATAACATTGGTTCTTACTGATGGCCTTGATGGCGATCGCTGTCATCATGATGAACGTTAAGTTTAAAAATCTCATGTCATTATACATCCGAAACATCTTCACCAATCATCGCGTAATGCACTACTGGTTCTTAGATTACCTTGATGGTGATAACAAAGATTAAGATAAACGACAAGTTCGTCGTTGTATGATGTGCACGTGTTCCTTTTATCACGTGTAGCTGTGAGCGAAGGTCGCATTCCGGCAAACGAAAGTACCTCGCCTCGTACAACAAAAACGCTAAAACATATACAACAAAAGAACTAATGGCAAAGGGAGTTCGTCTCTCCTAGTGCCAGAAGGAACACCTCATGCCTGACCACATGGCCTGGTTCACAGAACACTGGAACGCCCTGGCGAACAACGCAGAGTTCCTGAGCGCGCCGTTGACGATCGTCTCGGCGTCGAGCTCGCCGCAGTGGTTCAGCGCCCAGAGCACGAAGAAGAGCTCGGCGTTGCCGTAGTCGCCGTGCAGCCGCACACCCCGGCCGAGCTCTTCTTTCAGGCGGCGCTTGTAGAGCACCATGAGAGGCTCCAGCAGGGCCGACTCAAGAGTGGCCCGTCTGGCGAGGGTCTCTGGAAACGAGTCGCCGAAAATCACAATCGTGCCGAAATCGCAACTCGGTCGCGCCGTGGCACACCCGTATGAACGATTTAAGGCAAACATGTCTGACAGGTATCTGTCTGGCTGTTGGGGTAGACAATCGGCGAGAGACACTATACTGATGAGAAGCACCAGCTTCGGAGCCGACCGGACTGTCGCCCTCTGAAGGTCGAAGCGCAATTTCTTTTTTACTTAAGAAACTACAAAGGTAAATTTGGCTGGAGTCTCTTTTGAAGAAGAACTACGTTGCACAGGTCATGGCAGGGCCGTATGCAGAAATGTTTTTTGGGGTGGCACCTCCTTGATTTCGTAAAGGGGTGGGGGTAGGGGAGGACTCCTTTCGAAAAGGTCATTTTTTCGCTCTGTACACCATGGCGAATAACGTTTCGGCCGCTGGCTCATAGCACATGCGCCTAAAGGTTACCAGTGGTCGAACATCAGCTGCGATGGTCCCGAAGTTTTGAGACCAATTTAGTCCCTTCTCCAGGAGTCCCTTTCTCAGGTACATTTGCTCATATACCGATGCTTCAAGGGCCTCGTCATGTTCCGTCGTTTCTTTGACAACTTCAATCGGCTACTGAGGAAAGGAGCGAGCTAGTCGACTTTCAAATGCCCGGATTGCGTGTTGGTGCCAGTTAGAGCCAGCTATCCCGCAATTTGTGCAGTAGTCGTCACAGCTGTAGAGTCATCCTTCTGATTAATTGCGCAGGAATTCAACCAGGTTTCTTAGCGTCTTCAGCCCTCTCTTACGTCTCCCCCCTCCTCTCCACCACAAGCCCTACCCACTAAACTCTCGTCGATAAGCTTCTTGAAGCTGCCAGCTAGCCGGCAACTTCGAACACCGGATGCTGCGGCTCGGCCAGTCTGGTTTTCCCCAGGCATTGATCGTTTCTGTTTCAGAAAGGTTTCTGGTGACCTTGGTAAGAGGAGGGGTGGCCCGCGACAGAGAGGACGAAGACCTCAAGCGCAGCCATTCTACATCACGTCGATGATGTCTCACACAGATCTTTAAAAAAAAGTTGTTGGTCGGATTGGCGTGCGTGTTTTGTTCAGCGCAAGGAACAAGCTCTCATCGTTGTGCCGCAAGGTGAACTGGGAGAACAATAAGTGAGCAAACTGGGTGAAAAAAACGCCCAAAGCGTTATGTGTATTGCACATTTGCTGTAGTGTGCAAGATTCCGTATGCTTATCACTTTATCGACCAATTAGGCCGAACGTTACACCGGATAGTAAAATAGCGCACTTTTCATGCGAACAAAAGGAACCAGAAAGACACATACACAGATTGAAAATTCTGCGGTGCCTTGTCTTTTTTGTCTTTTTTTTTTCGTCGTCAGAACTACGCTACTTCACCATCCAGTGTAATGGTCAGTCGCAAACTAGCCCAGCTTTTAATTCTGTTAAACAAGCCAGTGCTACCAGGAAAATTGCCCCCTTCCTTCTTCACCGTAATGGCAAACCATTCCCTGGGCACGTCTATCGTGTCGCCCGACTCTCGGGCCCCTCGCATGATTATAAACTAAGTTCTCGACCTAACGGGTTAAATTTCCACCAGGTCGTTTAGTGAACGCGCGAGGATTAACTCGGATGACGCCGATTGCCATTGGGAATCGGATGTAAGGACCCCTTTTAGGCACGCAACAAGCCCAGTCCTACGCTTTGCCAGTTGGACCTTTATCGATCACGAACCTTCCACGTCGTCGGTGTCAAGATCCGAGGCGACGCATTCCACGAGGGCTCGAAAGTGGCGCTCGTTGCGCGAGCGCCAAGCGTAGGGACCCCGGCTTGTGGGCATGAGGACGCGCATCAGCTCGCGACCCAGGGCGGGCACCAGCACGGGCTCGATGATTGACGACGCGTTCAGCAGGAGGCCCAACAGTCCCAGGGGTACGAGTAGGGTCTTGCGCTCCGCGGCGTACTGGGCCTACTCCGCCAAACAGAGGAACAATTCAGTATCATTGGACAACAGAAAGAAAAACAAAATAAGGAATAAGGCCACCCAAGCACATCGTACAGATGGCTAACCAGCGAAGGTGAAACGTGTGGTTCCGGTGTTCGTCATGAGCTGTGATCTGTGGAAACTGATTCCGTTGTAGATGTTCATTTTTATATCCACTCATGATTTTATGCCGCTTTTATGGGTAGTGATCAGTGCTGCGGCGGGTATTATAATAAATATGCTCACAAAACCTCAAGAAAGACTAGTGGAAGTGGAGACCGGGCCTTCGAGGTAGTGTATGCTGTATATTGCGTCTTTATTTTATTTTTCTGGGGATTCAAGCGCCACCATATTATCGACCTCCTATTGCGATATACACCTTCATTGTAAATAGTAAAAAAAACAACATTCTTTGTATTTAAAAAAATGCCCTTGGACAATGCCAAGACCATCATTCTTGCCACGGGAACGCGTTTGGTGAAATGGAAAACGTGCAAAAGAAACGCAGATCTGGCGACGCCATCTTCAGCATATTGTCACGGGCACGGAGTCACGACGCTGACGGAGGCAGAGACGGCCCTTCCAAAATGAAATTTTAATTGGCCGAATTGGTGGCTGGTCACGGAAAGTCGGATTACAGCGATACACGCACTGGTATTGTGGTGGCGAACAGAGCGTCACTGACACGCGTAGGCAATCGTGCATCTACCATCGATTATTTCAGCGTTCTCGCTCGCGGCCACTTAAGTTCCAGAAGAATCTGTAATGTTGGCTTTGTGCGCATAATCGCATTGGAAGGTGCTAAGATTATCTCCGTGGTTCTTGGTCAATCGGTGCGGTTTGCGTAAGGCAATACTCACACGTGTTAGGAGGGAGGGGGCGATAACAAAAAAACCTGAGAAAGAAGTGTGGCGATTTTGTAGCTCGCAAGCTGGCCAGGTATTTTTGCACCACTGCCGGCACAACGCAATAGAGATGCTATGCCAAACTGTTCAAACCTTCGCACCGTACAGGCAAGAAATTTTCACGCTTGAAGAAGGCATGTGGACTGCTGGCTGTGGTAGATTACAATGCATGAATAGACCTGACGAGTTCAGGAGATGGAGCGATTCAAACGAGATAAGCTATTAGAAACTGAAGGCACTTTGACGTTTCTGTGGCCCACGTTTCTGCGCTCTCTCGCATGGCGCATGCGCGGGAAGGACTCCAGACTCCCTTGGTGCGCCTGACTGGAACAAAACACGAGTCAAGTTAGCGCATTTTGAACTGTGCATCGATACCTCGGTAATACAACCGCAGTCTCATTTTACGCGGTCTGCATGAAAGTGGCCTCGTTGATATGCTTTTCATTTCGGTGGCATGCCCACCGATCAGCCTTATATATGAATTTGCGGGAAAAGAAAATTTCGAGCTTTGGCACATTTTATTCCGATGTGTAAACTGTGATGCGGAGTGTTTCCTGTCGGTACTATGCTGTTCCCCTTCGAACTCGGTGCAACGCCACTGTGCATC